TCTCTGATCGCGTTAGATTTATATTGAAAATTCGTAATAACATTTTTCGTTATTTATATTTATGAATTTTTTGTCAATAGATTCGATTAAAACTACCCCCTTTTTTTTAATTTTTTTTTTTTTTTTCTCTAAACACGTTTATTATCAACATTATAAATTATATTACAAACACGGATATATATATCAGATATATTATTTGATATACATATAATAATAATAATATTATAATTATCTCCTGTTTAATACAGGATGCAATTTATATTGTTTGGATAAAAATTATGGTGGAGTTCTTATTATCTGGGACAGATTATTTGGTACATTTATGGAAGAGAAGGATGAAATTATTTATGGTTTAGTTGGAAGTCCACGATCATTCAATCCTTTATATTTACAGGTATAAATGTCATATACCAATGTAATTAGATGTAAATATGTTAATCTTTATCTTTATCTTTATCTTTTTATATTTTTCTTTTGTATTTTTTTGTTTTTCTTCTATTAGTATCGTTGTGTGTTTCTTTATATTCTATCAAATAGACAATATATATATATATATGTCTTCATCTAATCACAGTATTAAAACGGACAATTATACCGTTATATAAAATTGCAATAGGTGTTATGTATATTACTCGATTAACAAGATAGTTAATGCAATATCGTAATGTAATTATATTCAATGTGACTTACGCAAAAATATGATGAAAAAGAGAGGGGAAAAGAAAAAAAAGAAAAAAAAGAAAAATTACAATGTACAACGAACAGAATAGGCACGCATCTAACAATTTCATTTCATATCAAAGTAATCAATAATATTCTCCTTTATTTTTTTTTATATAATAATACGGGGCGGAGGGGAGGGGGGAGAGGTCAGAGGAAAATCGTATGGCAAAGCGTAATTTTCTTTTTTTATTTTTATTTTTTTTTTTCTTCTAATTATCATTTGAATGTGTATATGTATATATATATATATATATGATACGATTTTGCATAAGCAATTAATTCAAATGCACAATATTTCAATTATTTAATGCTTACGAGTGTGCACGAATAGAAAAACGTATAAAAGTTTCTTCTTATGTGATGCTTTTTTATTTATTTATTTTTTTTTTTCTTTCTTTCTTTCTTTTTTATTATTAAATTTTTACATATTACATATTGTTATAGACGTTTTATACGAAAGATATGATAAATAAGAGTAAGCAGATGAAATCATTGGAAGATAAGTTATCTGTTTTGTGGAAGGGTCCCAGTTGGTATCCAGGTGGGCCACGTTTAGGTCTTGATAAGTATAAAATAAACGTAAGTTGTTTATTAAATTATAGAAAGAGGAAAAACAAAAAAGAAAAAAAAAAAAAAAGAAATAGTTTTTAAGATATGAAGAAAAAAAAAATTAATTATTACAACAGAGTGATATTATTTGTTTGTTTGTTTGTGTGTGGTTTTTTTCTTCCTTTTTTTTTTTTGTTTAGGTAACTTCTAGAAGCATATATAACGTTCGTATACCAACGTGGCAAAGTTTCTATATTGTTTTGCATTTTTTAATAGTATTTTATAAACATTTGCAATTGTACAATGAAAAACAAGTAAGTAGTGAGAAGATAATAATTTGTATAATTAAGTTTGTGATTTTGTTGTTGTTGATATAAATAATATATATGTTTCTTTTTCACAGGATTTAAATAATTCTTTAGGAATAACGATATTGAACAATATATTTGCTCTTATCGCTATCGGATTATTATTCGATAAATCTGAATATGCCGGATTGGTTGAACTCATTCGTTGTATCGTATATTTATCTATTTTAAATCAAGATCATATTATTAACGTTCTGATAAATTATGTTTATATTATATCCTGCGTTATTTGGATTTTTCGAATGATAAATCAAATGAAAACAAATTTCTTAAGATCATATGATGACTTTGTAAAGATACATTGATCATAACAATATTAAGGAAAATAAGAAAATCAATCGTTACTTATTTAATTGTATAGAATAAATAATAATTCGAAAAATAAGTCATAATAATTAACGTATAATAATAATAATAATAATAATAATAATAATATGTATTTTTTGATTATATAATCAATTTTAATGAAAACAATATTAATGCAAACTATTTAACAAAAAGAATCGTTCTTTTATATATATATATTATCCACGAAAAAAACGATATAAAATTGTACGAATAAAACGATCGCAAGATTAATGATTTGAAATTTGGCGCGTATTTTGAAAATCACCGCCAAATTCAATATGTTAATTTATATTAATAAAATGCTCAATTATTATAACGTTAAAAATAAGATTTGCAATAAGATATTATTCATTTTGATTTTTTCTTCTCATGTTTAAAATATCAATTCCGTTATTATAATTATTAAATTGAATATTATCGTATAATAAATATAAATACGATACGTGAACTGACTAGTTAAAGAAAAACAAGAAAAACAAATTTGTGTTGGCAACATTGGGAATCAGCTGTTGGCAGTGTATGAACAAAGGTGAATCCCGCGAAATCTTATAGTTAGTTGAAATACTTCATTAAAACGTTACACAAGTTCTATATTGGCATTTTAATAATATTATTTATTTATTTCAATCAATTGTTAATATTGTCGCGTGTGTGTTTTATAAGAGGTTAAGAATAAATATCACGAAATATCATAAAATAATTGAAAAGGACAGCAAGGAATAGGACGTCAACAAGGTAAACGTTATTCTTTTTTGTTTCCTTTTTTTTCTTTTTTTTTTTTTTTTTTAAATAAAAGGATATCGCTCTGACGAGGTTAATATCGTA